AACCAGTAGTGGCATTATCATCATGCGAAGCAGAATACATAGTTGCTTCTCTTTGTGCATGTCAAGCAACTTGGATGGTGAACTTGGTCAAAGAGATAACAGGGAAATATCATGGAGAAATTACCATGAAGATCGACATCATGTCAGCTATCAATCTGGAGAAGAACCCAATAGCACATGGTCGAAGTAAGCACATCGAAATGAGGTTTCATTATCTTCGAGAGCAGGTAACAGATGAGAAGATGAATTTTGAACACTGCAGAACTGAGAATCAGATTGCAGACATCATGACGAAGGGAGCGCAAGTCGGCGTATTCAGAAGGCTAAGAGTCATGATGAATATAGATAGTTTAGACACAATGAATTAGGTGGTGTGTTAAATTGTAATTCATAGTTTCGAAAAGATTAGATTTGTTTAGATTTAAATTGATTTGATTTAAGTCTAGAATAGATTAGATTTGATTGAGTAACAAAATAGATATTTTGGGCTTTGCGCTTAGGGTGCAAGCTCAGTTATAAATAGAGGGAGTAACCCCTATTTTTGTAAGCAAGTCAAGCAAGTCATTCACAATATTTTACAAGATATGTGTTTATGCTAGGTGGTGAACCTGTTGCTTGGAATTCAAGAAAGAAACCAGTAGTGGCATTATCATCATGCGAAGCAGAATACATAGCTGCTTCTCTTTGTGCATGTCAAGCAACTTGGATGGTGAACTTGGTCGAAGAGATAACAGGGAAAGATCATGGAGCAATTACCATTAAGATCGACATCGTGTCAGCTATCAATCTGGCGAAGAACCCAATAACACATGGTCAAAGTAAGCACATCGAAATGAGGTTTCATTATCTTCGAGAGCAGGTAACAGATGGGAAGATGAATTTGGAATACTGCAGAACTGAGAATCAGATTGCAGACATCATGACGAAGGGAGTGCAAGTCGGCCTATTCAGAAGGCTAAGAGTCATGATGAATATAGATAGTTTAGACACAATGAATTAGGTGGTGTGTTAAATTGTAATTCATAGTTTCGAAAAGATTAGATTTGTTTAGGTTTAAATAGATTTGATTTAAGTCTAGAATAGATTAGATTTGATTGAGTAACAAAATAGATATTTTGGGCTTTGCGCTTAGGGTGCAAGCTCAGTTATAAATAGAGGGAGTAACCTCTATTTTTGTAAGCAAGTCAAGCAAGTCATTTACAGTATTTTACAAGATATGTGTTTATGCTAGGTGGTGAACATGTTGCTCGGAATTCAAGAAAGGAACCAGTAGTGGCATTATCATCATGCGAAGCATAATACATAACTGCTTCTCTTTGTGTATGTCAAGCAACTTGGATGGTGAACTTGGTCGAAGAGATAACAGGGAAAGATCATGAAGCAATTACCATGAAGATCGACATCATGTCAGCTATCAATCTGGCGAAGAACCCAATAGCACATGGTCGAAGTAAGCACATCGAAATGAGGTTTCATTATCTTCGAGAGCAGGTAACAGATGGGAAGATGAATTTGGAACACTGCAGAACTGAGAATCAGATTGCAGACATCATGACGAAGGGAGTGCAAGTCGGCGTATTCAGAAGGCTAAGAGTCATGATGAATATAGATAGTTTAGACACAATGAATTAGGTGGTGTGTTAAATTGTAATTCATAGTTTCGAAAAGATTAAATTTGTTTAGATTTAAATAGATTTGATTTAAGTCTAGAATAGATTAGATTTGATTTGATTGAGTAACAAAATAGATATTTTGGGCTTTGCGCTTAGGGTGCAAGCTCAATTATAAATAGAGGGAGTAACCCCTATTTTTGTAAGCAAGTCAAGCAAGTCATTCATAGTATTTTACAATTGCAAAGTGAATAAGAAAGTTTTCACAGTTTGTGAGCAGAGAGAAACTCTGTAGAAATTATTTGTCTTGTCTTCTTTCTTTGTTTATCTCATAATTAAATTGTCATTGTGATAGAAATTCATCATAGATATTTGATAGATTTCCAACATCAACGTGCATATCATCATAAAGTGCTTATTTATTGTTTGTTAACAAGAAACAAAATAGAAGTGGCTGAAAAATCATATTCATCTAAAGACTTACTCAGTTCTTCAAAGGTTATATCCATTATCAAAGTCATAGATTCAAAATTCTATGTTATCATTGTATGAATAAATGTTTTTTAAATCGAATCAAATGAACCAGTTTAAACGGTTAAATCCAAAAATGACAATCTGTTTGATTTGCATTATATTATAATCTGGTTGAACTGTGGTTGGTTTAATATCTTTTTAATTTTACGTTTTTAAAAAAAATTATTACTTATTTATTTATTTATCATCTAGTTCGATTTAGAAGAAAAGAAACTAAGGCAATGCGTGTAAACTTGTGACTTGCACAAGAAGTCAAGAAGTAAATGCTGACATATTACATAAACAATTTGATGATGATCGAGAAAACCATGACTCAGTAATTGCATTTCAATCAACAATTGACAATGTATATGGTTACATTTTTTTAAAGATTGAAGTATTTCTAACAAACCATTTTAGACTGTTGTATTTTTTATGTAATAATTTCTAATTAATTAATGTTGTTTATTTATAAATTTCTGAGATTTATTTATGAGCAGGCCATTGTTATGCAACTAACTTATGACTACAATAATTTCTTTTCATGGTTAAAGCATGAAGAAGTTATAAAATAATAATCATATACAGTTTACTTGAGTGGGTCCAGGTTTAGAATCTCAGAAATTAACGGGAAGAATTTGATCAATTGTGCTAGTTATCATAGGTGTCTTAGCACAAGAAAGAAATTATTCAACATACATATGCTATCTGATCTAGCCTGATCAGAGTTAGATCGTCACAGTTGACTTCGGGTTGAGCTTGAATGAGATGGGGGTACCTGCAAGACACTCTGATGGCAAAATGAGAAGCGGAATGAGCAAACAAGTATGAGTTTTAGGTGTGAATGAATGAATACCTGACCCTCTCATGAGAGAGGATATTTATAGCCCACAACGATGGGCCAAGGTCCCCACTATTGGGCCACGCAGAGGCCCAATAACGGAAACTGTCAGGGTTTACGTGAGTATGGAGTCCAGCAAGTGGACCCCTCCTGGTCAACTGCTCTGCGAGAATATGGCTGGACCCGAGATTCCCAGAAGGCAGTTTGGTATGTTTGTTGAGAGGTGGTGGGCCACGTCCCCCAACGGTTGGATGGGGAGGTGCCCCACAATCCCTAACTTGGGTTGTCTTTGAGCCTTTCGCTCGTAGGACAAGTGTAGGTCCAGTCCAGATCACTATCAATATCAATACTATTGCTAAAGCTTGAAAATACTCATTAACTGAGAAAGTTTTTTTTCCACGCACACAAAAATTTGAATACAAAATTTATACACACACTCATAAAAGAAAAAGATAAAAAATAAAAATAATTAAATAATATATTTTTATAATATTTAAATGATATATATTTTTATGTGTGTACACTCAAATGATAATTTGCTAGGATTGTGACCAAACTATCATTTCTCCATTCACATAAGAGATGTTAAGAGATGCAAGGGGACAGGGGAGCGGAACTAGCCAGATATACTTGTAATTTAAACTGTAATAGCATTAAAAAACCCTTAAGTAAGATATGTTTGTAATTTAAGTGATGACGAAGTGTCAAAATGAGTTAATCTATATGGATTAGTTCACCGGACTCAAAAATTATAGGATTTGGGTTTTAAAATTAGAGTTTATATTTTTTTTAAAATTTTTAACTCAACTCTAAAAAACCCGCTATTGATTAGGGTTAACTCATATTGACCATAGATACCTGTTAGGTTCGCATATCTATAAATTTTTAAAAAAAATTATATTAATATTTATAGTCTTATTCAAAAATAATACATTGATTTTTCTCACTTTACTAAATTTTATCTCTATTCTGTTTAATCTTCCTCTTTTAGATATTATATTGATATAACCAATACTCTTTTACCATATTCTATTGGTTTTTCTCTTATGTTAAATATTCAAATATCATTTTATACAATTTAATATGTATTGTATTTAAAAATACATTATAATATTTTAAAAATATATTATGTTTGCAATAATATAATTTTTAATTTTATTTATAATAAATATTATAGATTTTTAATTTTAATTTTTTAAAATAAAAAATATGTTCATAGTCGGATAGTCCAAAGTCTATATAAGACCGGACTCGAGAAGTAATTCTCGAGTCTATATTAAAATAAGATTTTTTGACTCAAACCTAAAAAATCAAAGCCCCGCTAGGACCGACCATTTAAAGTCAAACAGCATTAAAAAACTGATTTAATAATACAGAACTATAATTACTTCGTAACGATGGAGGTAGGCACATTTACAGCTACTCTATAGTTACACGTGTAGACACATTTGACCGATCTGCATAAACAAATGTCATGTTTGTTGTTTGAAATTTACATTTCTATTTACTTTTTGTATAATGAGAGTGACCAAGAACACGAACTATGTAAAACATTTTCTCTAAAAAAACAAATCTAGTTCCATCTGTGTTGTAGTAGATTGTGAGCTAAGGCTGCGGCACTCTTATTGTCACATAAAGCAATGGGGGTAGAGAAATAAACACTAAGCTCACTAAGAAAGGATTGAAGCCACATGCTTCCAGTGCCATGCTTCAATGTTGTTTCTTAGCTTTTAGCTGATCGTGCCATGCTTCAATGTTGTTTCTTAGCTTTAGCTGATCGTGCCATGAATTGATACACCTTGTTTGTTGAAAATGCTTATTATATTAAGTTTGGTAATTGTGACATATTATAGCCTATAGTGCCTTCACTGTGGATTTTCATGTCACTACTGGTACTACTTTTCAATTGGTTCATTGAAAGAAGCGTATTCATTCCAACACATAGAAAGATTACTAATTGACAAAGATGAGGCTATCAATTCAAGAACCAGTTTAAGTATACCACACTAGAATAAGAAGACGAGGCAGAAAAGAAAATGCAAATCAATCCCCAGGTTGCGCGACTTCTACACAATGGGTCAATTTCCAACATATCCATATTTGAAAAAGCACGGGATGCAGCCGTGAGCATTTGTAAGTGCTTGATGGTAGTTACAATTAGGAGACAACTAGTAACAGAATTGCCTAATTGCAATCATGATCAGAAAGTTAATACTGAGAGTCATTTGTTAGGAGTCTGTGATTGCAAGATGTATATTGGAATTTCTGGTGCTCAATCAATTGCTGTCTCCATTATCATAAGATTCACAACACAGGTAGGGATAAAACCTATAAGCCCAACTTTTATAAAATACATATTTGATGTCATCACTTATAATTTAATTAAAAAACATGCTGTTAGAGTTTGAGGTGTGCACGAAACATAAAGCTTGTAGCAGATCACATAGAAGGGCAGCTAGGGAGGATATATCCCAGTGAACGTAGAAGCACAAAACCAACGCGGCAGTACCAGAAGACACCTCAATATAAAAGAAAAGCATATATTTTAGCAAGATTCGGAACAATTTTTAACAAACTAGTAAGCAACTACTCTTAAAAAACCGTTTTACCTGCAACAAAACTAGACGAATTCGGTGTAGATAAACATAACACAAGCCATTAAATCAAGAAAGTAACTAAACCATTTAGGGTAGAAGCTCGGGGCACTGCCCAACAAACAGATGTGTACTGCAGTTGAAAACACTAGATTAACAATATCTCGTTATCTTCGGAACAGTTGCAATTACTGACTTTTAAAAAATCAACTTCTGCTTCGAGGTGCATCCCTTATCCCATTTCTGCACAATATGGACATCATCACATTTCAGCGCAAATGCTTAGTAATAATACTTATAGCAGAAATAATTAGAAACTCAAAGTTGCATACTCATGCACCTTAAACTTGCATATTTGTTTCAAGTTACAAAATTATATTCCTTGGAATCATATTCCCGGGATTATTATTTCCATGAATAATATTCCTATGCATGTGTTTGACCAAAAATTAGATTTCCAAGGAATGTTTATGAACTAAATTTAATTAAAAAATTATAAAAATAAAATTAAATGTGAGCATTAGTGGGAAGTTGGAGTTAGTTGGAATTTATTCCCATGGGAATGTTGGGTTCCCACCCTTTAACATCGGAATAACAATGGAAGAAATCATGTGTAAAATAAATTCTGGGAATAAAAAGTACCCCGGAACAATTTTTAAAAACTTGAAACAAATATAGGATTAATAGATTTCCAATATTATATTCCCAGGAATGTTATTTTGTTACTTGAAACAAACACACCCTAAGAGTTGACACACAACTTATACATCTTAAAAGTTTGTATACTAAAAGATGTCACAATACGACTTATGCATCTTAAGGTTGTATACCAAAAAATCAAACAAGTAAATATTCCGGGCCCTACTATGGACATCAGATTTAGTTTTCGTTCCTCTGTGCTGCTGACAGGCATATAGAGGCAAGATACCATAAATTTAGAGCAAACACAAGTTTTTTTTGTAAAAGGGGACAAACGGAGAAGAGGAGAAAATGCCAGAGCATGAGACTCTCTTTATAACCTAAGAGCACTTCAATAGAAATTAGACTTGAGAAAAGATATAAAAAAAAGAAAGAACATTCAAAAAAGTATTAACATTAAAAAAGATATCAAGAAAAGAAATCAAGATATCCATCTAGTTGAAAGAAAGCACAAGTTTAAAACATGCAAACATCAAGTGATACCAAGTTAAATCCAGGCAGAGAGAGATGGAACCTCACCCGTTAGCATGTGCTACGGCCTCCCGTCCACGGTAAGGAGGGGGTGACCTGCTGAAGCTGCGGCGACGGGGTGAAGGGCTGCGACGACGAGGAGAAGGGCTTCGTCGTCTAGGGGACCGCTCACGAGGACTGTAACTCCTGGAACATATCAATTAAAGGTGTGAAAATGAAACACTTAATTTAAACATGTGTAAAACAAATATTACCACCAAATCATGAAAAAAGGAAATGACTCTGCTCAAGAAACTAGTTATGGCCAGTCACAAAAAACAAAGGAACGGTGTCATTTTTTTTGTGAACCCAGGAAGAATGGCATGTAGTTTATTTTCAACAGAATAAAACCATATAGCAATCTCACCTTCGCCCATAACTTGGGCTCCTACGCAATCGAGGTGGACTGCGGCTCCGACGTCTTCCTCCCCCTCCACCACCACGAGAAGAATGACACTCGCGAGCAAAATGACCAGGTTCACCACACTCATAACATTTCAAATCAGAACCACCCCCACCAGACCGACCACGACCACCACCTCCGCCACCTCTTCCTCCTCCTCCACCTCCAGTTTTAGAGTTGTGAGAAAGCTCTACCCTCCAACCATTCTTACCTGTTCCAGGTGGAAAAATATCAAATAGAGTGGAAGGAAATACTAATCCCTATTTTAGAATTCAAACAAAAAGCACCCCTACCAAAAATAAAACACTGCTGAAAATTTTCAAAATCCATACCCAAAATATTTGATATTTGTGAAAAAGTAAGACTCACAAAATATAATAACTCAAAAGTTCTTCTCAACATACCATCTAACTCTCGGATAGCATCCAGTGCGTCTCTGCGGTCATCAAAATCAATGAAAGCATAACCAGGAGGCCTCCTTGCAACCCACACACTACACAAACAACATTAAGATTCCATCAATTCAAAACCCAACTGCTAAGAAGAATTGAAAAATCACAAGTCTAAAATCTAAATGAAAAATATGAAACTACTTGGTGACCTAATTCACAGTTTCACAGTACAGTAATGCATAGATATCAACTTCAAGTATAGAAAAACTACTCAGTTACCTTCGTATAACTCCAAAAACATGGAAATCATCTTCCAGATCCCTCTCAGAAACTCGAGAATCCAGATTCCCAATGTACACGCGAGTCATTGTTTCAGCCAAAAAAAGCGAATCAGTAACCTACAATTAAAAAAGAACACGGATTCAATAATTAACAAAGGTTTTCAAGAATTCCAAGTAGGAAAAAAACCACGCGGATTGGAATTTCAATGAGAGGAGAATTAACGGGTTTGAATTTGAATATAGAACTACGAGAGAAGAGAAAATCGAACCTGAAGGAGATTCGGTGAAGATTGAAAAAGGAGGGATAAACCCTAGCAGCAGCAGCAGCAGTTTGTTTGTTCGGTGTTTTTGTAGGAACAGCTAACGTACACAAATTTTGAAACCGCATCCACTTGTTTGACTTTATTACTCACTCGGTAAGAAATTTGTTATTTTGGTTTTAATTGCATTCCTAGTCCACTGATTTGGCTTAATTGGGATTTTAATCTCCATTTATAAATTTGTTATTTTGGTTTCGATTTTTTAGATGTTTAAATTACGACAAGTGATGATTATTTAATAAATGATATTAGGAACTCATTTGGGACGGTGTTTTACGGTGGAAGAACGGATTTGAGGTTTTGCGTTTGTATTCGCACTTGTTCGGTTTAGCAAGAGTCGCCACCAACTTTTTATTTTATCCTACGGAAAGGTTAAAAAGCACAGGAAAAACCTTTTGAGATGTTTCGTGGGTTCGGGGGGTAGATTATGAAAAGGGAAGGTATTAGCACCATTTTCATCCATGGTTATCTATGGGCTCTTAGTTACTTGTTTTAGATCACTTGCCTTGATTTTCAGTTGCTTGAAATGGTGGTGTGTGTGTGTGTGTGTTTTTGAAAATGTTTTGAAAAAGATGCCTTGTCTAGGCAACCGTTGTAATAATTCTTTACTCGAATGTTTTACAAAGGTGTTTGTCTTTTCGAAAAGATGTTTCAATGTTTTTGAAAGTTGTTTTGAAAGTTTGTGTTGTGGAGTGGGTTTTTGAAAAGTAGGCAAGTGTGTTTTGCAAGTTTGATCAAGTAACTAAGAGTTGTCTACCCCTAAATTTACTCAAAGATTTTTCTCATATTTTAACCCTTTTAACAAAGTTGTTTCACCATTGTATTTGGTGAACAACCTTGCGTTAGGATGTTAACGGGACGGGCGTGGGTCATCGTATGGACCATGAATGCAATGGTGCCAAGTGTCTTTGGCAATTTGCTTTTAAGGGACTTGATCATTTTGTTTAGGCAACTTCGAAAGCGTCATCGAGGGACTATGATCATTTGATTTATTTTGTTTTGCCAAAGAAACTCAACATGCAAGCATGGCCCATTTTGGAAGGCAACGAGTGGGATTACCCTAGGGGTGCAAGTGTGAATGGTATATTGATTTTCATGCATTTATCTTTGTGTTAGGTTATCTAGCGGTTGATTTCGAATCTTCGCATACAAACCCTAATTACTATACAGTATATAGAAAGCGATAAATTGCGGGAATTTAAAGTCTAAGCTATTACAAATAAGTATCCGGGAATGGGGGTACAAATATTTACAAATGGGGATGAGTCTTGTCAGGATAGTAGTGTCCAAATGTTATTTACAACCAAATCGAATCGCATTCTCAATGTAAAATGTAGCAATGTATAAGCATAAAAGTAATGTATCGAAAGTATTTGTGAAAGTGTATGTGATTATTTACAAGTGATGCAAGATGTTAACTTAATGCAAAATTAAGTATTTTATTTATCTTTGGATTTTTGTTGATTATGTACAAACAAAGGTTTTAGTGAAAAGAAAGGAAAAATGTTTTAAGTTTAAGAAAATTAATGTTTATGTATTCTAGTTAATGTTTTATATACAAACAACAAAAAAGGTTTTATTAATAAAAAAAATGTTCAAACTTAATACGTCTAAGATTTTCATATTTTTAAGTATAATAAAATAAAAAGAAGCATCTAAGAAAGAAAAAAGGTTAAAGTATCATTTTTATTTAACAAACAAAAATAAAATAAATTAGTTTAAACTATAAAAAAAAAAAGAAAAAATAAAGTGATAAGTAAAAAAAGATATTAGTTTGTGTAAAGAAAAGGAAATGGGCTTAAAGGAAAAAGGGTGGCCCAAAATAAAGTTTGAAGGAGAATCAAAAAAGGGGGGACACGCCAGAAATAAGGGGGCACAGCGCCAGTTTTTCAGTTGGGCTTAAGGCAATTGGTTGGGGCAAGGCCCAAATACGTTTTTGCACATTTGTTTAGGGTTTGACTTTGTTGGTTCAGAAACAAAGGTTACAGAGGCGCTGCTTCCATCTTTCTTCGTTTCCTTCGTTCTCTTTGAGTCAGCCACTGACGTCCCCTACCGTCTCAGCTGACAGAACGCAACCTCCACTTCTTCCTCCTCAAGATCATTCAGGCCACGATGAAAAAAAGGTAGCCTTGTTTCTGTCTTAACGCATTTTTAGGGTTTTCCGATTTCCATTTTTGCACGTTTTATTTGTTCTGATTCCTTGATTATT